GCACTTGGAAGTGGGTGCAGCAGGACTTCGGCGCATCAGGTAGAAGTGAGATCACAAGGAGCAGGGTGCATTAGGAAATGAGCGCACCAGGACATGCATTAGGAGGTGGGTGCATCACATCTTGGCTGCATTAGGAAACGGGTGCACCAAGTGCTGGGTGGAGCTCATTAGGAAATGGAAGCATCCGTCCCTGGGTACACTCGGAGAAGCGGATGCCAGCCCAGGCACCAGCTGTCATCCACAGCCGATTCCTGGAAGCCGGGCAGGATCCGGCTCTGTGCGGGGCAGAGCTGTGCTGGGACTCCTCCTTTGGCCAACAAGGGCGGGCGGCAGCACGGGGCGGCTGCAGACACCCCGGGGTTGCACCAGGCCCAGCCCTCACGCCAGGGCTGCTCCCAGCCTCTGCTGCCAACATTGTGGCCGCTGGTTTGAATTTCCATCGGGATTTCCAACTCCCAGAGCCGTGCAAAGAGACCCACGGAGCGTCCCTCCACCGCTGTCCTTCCCAGCGCCGCTCCATCCGCCCCACGTGGCAGCGCAGCCCCCCGGCCGCAGCCGCAGACAAAACCTCTCAGTCCCGCGCTGCTCAGATGTGTGGCCGCCAAAACCCGCGAAAAGATGAAAGGGATCTCCTGGCTGACCCCATCACCCCGCGCTGCGCGCTGCTGCCCTGCACACAGAGCAGCATTTTTCCCATGCTCGGAGGGTCAGCCCCCCCTGCACTCCCGGACAGAGCAATGCCAGGAATGTACCTGGGAATGGCGGTGGGGCAGGGGAGATGGGCAAATGCATCACTATCTTTTAAAAGGCACTTCGCTCATGCGAGAGCTCTACAGAAGTGACCAGAGCTGCAGGGACACACTGAGCCTTGTTCGGGACTGTGGTTTGTGTCCTTTCTGCCATGGGATACCATATGGTATTGTGGTGCTGGTTTCTGGAATGGATCCTGACTCTCCAGGCACAGCCCAGGGTCCCGCAGAGCCCTGCCCTGGCCATCAGGACCAGAGGCAGAGGCTAACGGGGAAAAATCCAGGAGAAATGCACTTCCTTCCCCTCTCCACCTTGACCTTGCATCACCCAAAATAATAACAAAGGGGAAATGCAATGGAAGCGAATGGAGATGGGACCCGGGGCATAGCTCAGGGCGCTGTGGGATGACACCAGGAGCTGTGGGACTGCTGCTGTGCCCCATACAACTCGGACCCTACACCCGGTGCTGCCCCATTCCACACAGGGACCTTCCCCAGCAGAGAGGACACGCGGCCTCAGCACCGTGGCAGCGCATGGGCCCGTGCCCCCATGAGCCCCCCTTTCCCCTCCGCTCTGCAAGAGGGTTTCGCTTGTAAACAGCGATCCCCGGGTAACACTTCTAATCCGTCGCCTCTTGGCTATTATTCCTCCCCGCTAACCTTAAAGCCTCCCCCTTTCTCTTCGAGGCACCCCCAGAGCAGAGGAAATTCCTCAGCCCTGACGTGATGTGAAACACGAGCGGCTCGGCCCCAACCTCGCCGGGGCCATTTCCCAACCCAGGTTTCCCTATAGCATCCCCCTCGACCCCCCTCCCCAGCCACCCCTTTAGACATTGTAACCCGAGAGGCTGGAAATGCAGCGCCTTTCATCTTCCATTTCCCACATCCTGAGAGTCTGGGGAGAAGGAGCCCACCCAGATGAAGGAATCCCAACTATGCGGCTCTCTCAACCTCCCGGTCCCCCCCGCCGCCCCCCGTGCGGCTCCATTCACGGAGCAGATTAGCCACGCTGCCGGCTCCACGCGCACCTCCGCGCCCGAAAAAGCCCGCGCTGAGAGCCAACAAAAAGAATCAAGTTGAAAAATAGACGATACAGAAAGACCCCATTCCCAGCTCCACTCCTTTGCCCCATTCTCTGTAGGGCCGACGCACCCGGCACTGGGAAGCGGTGCCCAAAACCACAGGAGCGGTGCTGCTCAGGGTGATGCAAACCCCACGATGGGACGTGTGTGTCCCAGCCAGGCCAGGGGACCCTCAGGATGGGGAGAAAGGTCCAGCCCAACCATTCTTTTTGTGTTCATCCAGTGTTGGAAACCCATGGACCACACCAGCCCCGAGCAGCCACGGTCCCACATGCCCCGTGCGTGGCCGCATCCTGCAGCGCAGCGCATGGCGTGTTGTGTACATCACATCTCAGCACCACTGCGTGACAGCAGGACACACTTTTGCTGCTCTTGGGGTGACCTCACGTGGGTGAAAGCGAACCTGGGGTCTCTCCTCCAAGGGCTGCGCATCTGTTTGCTCCCCACACAGCCCAGCACATTCCCCTCTCCATCGTCACCTATTTGCTAATTGTGCCAGTGGGAAGGGCGGGAGGCAGAGGAGGAAACAAAAAGTAAACTGAGAAAGCAAGACTGCAGCTCCAAGGGCCCAGCACAGCAATCAAGCGATAAAGCAGTAATTAAGCCTGATTATCATGCAAGACAGCCCTGGATAGACTGGAATGCCACTGAAGAGCCCAAAAGCTGCCAGGATTGTTTGCAGCGCAGAGAGCTGATCTGATATCTGCTGGGAGCTGCTCTCCTGCAGGCTGCCCCCAGCACTACGTACAGCCCGGGTTCTGCTTCACCCCTTCGGGTTTTCCTCCTCGCAGCCCTGCACAACCCCCCCCCAAAAGCATTGGCTGTCCCAGTTCTTGGGTTTGACCCGGGGGTAGAAAGAGCCATCCTGGGCCACTGAGAGCACCTTCAAAGGGCCATCCAGGGGGTGGGGCCCCATCCCTGGAGGTGCCCAAAGCCATGGATGGGGCAGCTCCATCCGGTGGGGGGCACTCAGCCCATGGCAGGGTTAAGGCTGGGGGCTGTAAGGTCCCTTCCAACCCAAGCATTCTATGGATGTATGACCCACACGTCCATGCAAGCACAAAGCATGCAAGAGGATGCGGGCTGCTCTGCTGTGCCCTCATTGCTGACAGCTTTCATTAAGTGGAAGCGGGTTGGGGAAAGAGGCAATTCCTGCAGGATGAGCTTTGGTTCACGTTAGCCTGAACGTCTGACACATCCCAATTGCATCGGCCAGGCTGGCATGAGGGAAAGATGAGTATGTAGGTCAGGCCCTGGGGTAACAGGTAGCTCCCAGCATGGGTTGGGGTCATTTGGGATACAGCTGGGTGGGTTATTCTGGGAACAGAGGGGATGCGGTTGGGAAATAGGGCAGCGTGCAGCCCATCGCCCTGCTCCACGTGGAGAAATGCCTTCCCTTCACCTCCGGGACAGAGCTGCCAGCCCTCCGCACCCGCAGGAGGAGCCGCCATTGACTCAGGCCCTGGGAACTCAGTGCTTGGGCACAGCGATGAGCTGGCCACAAATCATCCGGGTTGCAAGACATGCTGCTCCCCTGGATGCTAAGGAGTGGTTTGGGCAGGGCGAGGAAGAGGCCCGGAGGAGGTCAGAGAAGGTGGCCCCCAGGAAAGCCCTGCTGCTCCCAGGGTGAGCCTTGTTTGTAAATAGTCTCTGTTTCCAGGGCAGCCCGGGTGGCACCTTTCACCGTCAGGAATCCGGCAATGAGTTTGGGGCCGGGTGCTGAGTCAGGCGGTCCCATGGAGGACTGGCAGAACCGGTCATCCCGAACCTGCCCAGGCTTCGGGTGGGGAACAGGGCAGGAGAAACGCAGCCCTGCTCCACCCCGGGCTTGCATCACCCCCGCATGACAACAATAATAATAAAAAACAACAAAAGGGAGGGAGGCCGCCGTGTCAGATTTCTCCACGCTTTATCAAAACGAAAACGCCGGCAGGTTGAGGTGTTCTCAGCCCCTGGGGGACGGACGTTCTGCATCCCCCGTAAGCCCCAGAGAGGCAGCGAGCATCTCCTGCACCACGGCGGGGGGGGGGGCGACATCCCGGAGTGTTTTCCTTTTAAAAGAAACACAGAACGAGCCCGGCGCTCACCAGCGCTTCCAGTAAAACCCATTCAATTTCGGCAATTCATCCCACAAATATGTGTGGGATGCTGGGAACTCCTCGGGGCCGCTCGGGCACAGATGGGCTCCGTCTGGAGCAGCGGCCGCGGCTCTTTGCTCCGCGTGGTAACAGCGTGAGTAATCAGAGACCTCCATCCAGGGCTTTATTTATCTTATCTCTGGAACTCGGCGAAGCATTTCGGGCTGCGACTTCTGCGGGGGGAAAAAAAAGGGAAAGGATAAAAGAAAGGCTGTTAATCAAAGAGCCCCCAGCGGGAACCTCCACTTTTACTGGAAAAGGGAAAAGTTCAGGCGCTGGTTTGCCCGGGCTGTGAAGGAAGGGATGAAGTAAAGGCCGGGACGGTGCCGGGAGAGCCGGGGTGCGAAACGTGACGTGAAGAAACGCAGCGCTGCAGCTGCCGTGGGGGATTCCCGGGGATGAGGACGGGAAGCGCCGGCGCTCAGCGCCCGTCCCGGCACGGCGGACCGCGGGGGGGGCGCTGTGCGGGGGGGGCGCTGTGCGGGGGGGCGCAGCCGGCGGCGTTGCGTGAATCGCTGCCGGGGGGCGCGGGGCTGGGCGGAGCCGCCGCCGCCCCCTCCCTGCTCTCCAGGCGGCGCCACCTTCGCAGCCGTGTCCGGCCGCTCCCCGCGGCGCCGCTCCTCGTGAGCCCCCGTTCCACTCACGAAGCTCGCCGTCCCGGCGTTCTTTCACACCCCCCGCGGTGCTCTGACCGCACAGCGCGCCATGACCGCACAGTGCCCCGTAACGCCCGCCCCTCCCCCCCGGACCCCCGCAGGGCCGCTCCCCACGTTCCCGCCACCCGCGCGCTCCCTTCGCCTATGACGGCGGCGGCGGCGCCCCCCTCCCTCCGCGGCTCCTTTGGCGCCTTTTCCTTCCCGCCACGTCGTTGCCCGCCGCCGTCGCTCCGCCGCGCGGGACGCGCCCTATTGGCTGAGGAGCGGCCGAGTGGGCGGGGCGTCCCATCGGCGCGCCCAGCAGAGGCCACGCCGCCCGGCTCTCCCCGGCCACGCCCCCGCCTCTCGCTACTCCCGCGGCCGGCGCGGGGCCGGCGCGCCACACGAGAGCCCGGCAGCGCGGGGAGCGGTCGCGCCGTGCCCGCCCCGCGGCGCCCCCCTTCCCCCCCCGACCCCTTCTCCCTCCACCTCCTCTTTTTCCTCCTCCTCTCGGCTCGCCGTCCCCCGCCCGCCTCCAGCCGGGCTGGGCTGCCCGAGCCGCCTGGGTCGGGTTTGTTCGGGCGGGGCTGCAGCCGGAGCGCGGCGGCGGCGGGGATGCTGCTTTCCAAAATCAACTCGTTGGCCCATCTCCGTTCCGGGCCCGGCGCAGAGCTGCACGCCGCCAAGCTGCCCGCAGGTGAGGCGCCGTGGGGCGGTGCGAGGCGGTGCGGCGTGGGGCTCGGGTTGGGGAAGCGCTGACGCCGCGCTGCTCCCGCAGGGAAGGAGAAGGAGCCGCTGGAGAAGCTGTACCAGGTGGGCCCGCTGCTGGGCAGCGGGGGGTTCGGCTCCGTCTATTCGGGGATCCGCCTCTCCGACAGCGCCCCGGTAAGTGCGGGGTGAGCCGCGGGCAGCGGGCAGCGGGGTTCGGCCCGGCTCAGCCCCGCTCAGCGCCGCGCATCGCCCCGCAGGTGGCCATCAAACACGTGGCGAGGGACCGCATCTCCGAGTGGGGCGAGCTGGTGAGCATCGGGAGACGGGGAAAGGGGGGGGGCCGCGTGGATGGGGGGACGAAACGCTGGAGTATCGCTGGTTGGAGGGGTGCGGGAAGGATGGAGCATCTCTGGTTATGGGGCATGGGGGGGTGGGTCGGAGCATCCCTCGTTTTAAGGCACTGGGAGGTATCGAATCCATCCCTGGACTGGGACGTGGGTTGGGGGAATCCGGAGCATCCTTGGTTTTATGGACAGTAGGAGTGGGGCGGTCCAAAGCATCCTGGTTCTGGGGTGGCAAGGGGGAACCACCGGAATATCCCTGATCTGAGGGCACTGGAGCATCCCAGGCCGGGGTTAACTGGGATATCCAGACGGGGGATGTGGCAGGGAGCATCCCTGGCTTTGGGGGATGCACCGAGGGACCTGGCGCTGACAGCACCGGTGTCCCCGCAGCCCAGTGGCACGCGCGTGCCGATGGAGATCCTTCTGCTGAAGAAGGTGGGCACAGATTTCCGCGGCATCATCCGCCTCCTCGATTGGTTTGAACGTCCCGACAGCTTCGTGCTGGTGCTGGAGCGGCCAGAACCGGTGCAGGATCTCTTTGACTTCATCACAGAACGGGGGGCCCTGGCGGAGGAGCTGGCGCGGGAGCTGTTCCGCCAGGTGCTGGAGGCCGTGCAGCACTGCCACGACCGCGGCGTGCTGCACCGCGACATCAAGGACGAGAACATCCTCATCGACCTCGCCACCGGCGAGCTCAAGCTCATCGACTTTGGCTCTGGTGCCCTCCTCAAGGACACCGTCTACACTGATTTTGATGGTGAGACATTGCCGTGTGCTGGAGGCGTCCCCTCTGTATGCAGCAACATGGGAAGGTGGGGGTGGAAATGTGGCGTTATTCAGCTGCCCGCAAAGTGTTTGGCACCACTTGGTGTTGTGAAATGGGAGCCGGCTCCCGGCCTGAGCACCCAACCAACGCTTCGGGCTGGGGCGAGGGGAGGGCACCCTACAAAAACAAACAGCTCCTGGGGGGGGGGACGGGACAACAGGTTGCAAAACGTGGCGTGCAGCACAGAAGAACGGCTCCATTCCCCTTGTTTGCTTTTTTAAAAATTATTTTTAAATTTTTATTTAATTTTTCTTTTGGCAAAGGGGTGGGAAGAAGGTGTGGTTTCCCCCCTCCCTCGGGAGTTTTATTTTTTGCATGTAACGGTTGGTCCCGGCCTTCCCCGACCCCGTGCTGCCACCTTCCGGCCCCACCGCCTTTATTTTACAACCCAAAGTTTGTAAACAAGAGTCACGTGCTGGCGGGGGCGGTGTGACGCCCGGTGACCCCCCCGCCACCACCCGTCCTCACCCGGCCCCACCGCGGGCTGCGCGTCTCTGCCATCCCCAAAAGGGTCTGAGGACAAAAATGGCCATTCTCCGCAGGCACGCGGGTCTACAGCCCGCCGGAGTGGATCCGCTACCACCGGTACCACGGGCGCTCGGCAACGGTGTGGTCCCTGGGCGTGCTGCTGTACGACATGGTGTGCGGGGACATCCCCTTCGAGCACGACGAGGACATCCTGCGCGGCCAGGTGTACTTCCGGCAGAGGGTCTCTCCAGGTGGGCACCGCATGGGAGAGGGAGCGGCGCGGGCTTATGTCACCCACTGGGGAGCTCGAGGGGGTGGCACGTGTCTCGGTGCCCTGCAGTCCTCCGGCACGTGGTGGGTGGATGGGGGGGGTTGGGCGCGGTGCTCAGTGCCCCCCGCCCACGCTGACCGCTGCTTTGCGTCCCCAGAGTGCGAACATCTCATCCGGTGGTGCCTTTCCCAGCGCCCCTCGGACAGACCGTCTTTTGAGGACATCTCCAACCACTCCTGGATGCAGAGTGTCCACCTATCCCAGGAGGCGGCAGAGATCCACCTGCACAGCTTGCTTCAGGAGACGGGCAAATAACATCTCTGGTGTCTCCCGTAAGGAATGGACCGTTGTCTTGGGATTGTGGGATTGAGTTGAGATCATCGCTCGGCGCCGTGCAGTTCTCTGGAGCCAAACTCACCCAGGGGTTGGATCCCAGCTGGACTCGGACTCAGTGGTCCTATCTCACTTGATGTTTTTTTTCAGTAAACTTTGGGGTTTGGGTTCTGTCTCTGGGGGCTCCCATGAGTCTTCCTGGCCTGCTGAATTCGGGACTATGAGAGGATTGGAACTCTGAAAAGCTTCAATGGGGGGAAGGCTGTCTGGGGAGGGCAGGGCAGGTGCTCTGGTCTGTGTGCCGTCACCATCTTCGAGTGCCTTCAGTAGTGACGTGGGCTGTGCTGGAGGAAATACTTGAATTTTCCTACGCTGCTGCTTTTCCATGCCTCACCTGGGTGCAGAGCTACTTTTCCCAGAAGGAAGCAGGTCAGGAGGAGCTCAGAGCCCTGCAGCAATGCCTTCCCCGAGCCCTCTGCTTCCCAATGCACAAACAATGCAACCCAACAGAGCTGTAAATGCGTGTACAGAGTTATTATACAGGAGCAAAGCTTGGTGTACAGTTGTTAATAATGGTAATGTTTTTGCCCTTTTTTATTCCCCACCCAAGTTTTAATTTATTTTTGTGGATATATATATATTTTTTAATTTTTGTTGGTTTTTTTTTGTTTTGTTTTTTGGTTTTTTTTTTTTGGTTGGTTTTTTTTTGCAAGAAGGAGCCTGAGCCAGGAGGATAACTTATTTATTTATTTATAACCCACGTGGGTCCTCGACCCATGCCTTGCTTCTGCAGCTGCTGACCCCTGGTGCCCAGTTGGATTTCTCTCTGTGTCCATGTGTCTGTCCTACATCACGGATGGATTTGGGGTTTTGGGGGCTGGGGGGGCTGTGTGTGCCCATGCACTCTTTGGGCTGAACTTGCAGAGAGCGCTGTTGTCTCTACATGCAACCTGTGTGTCGTGGTGGGTTTTTGTTAATAGTTAATATTGTACAGGGGAATTCAGAAATCCTATTTTTTTTATACAATGCGGTTTTAAATAAAAAGAAAATCGTGGAACGGAGGCATCCCTTTATTATCCATCCCCATTAGGGTGGGATGGAGAAAAGTGGGAGCAATTGAGGTACTGACCCCCCACGGGTCTGCAGCATCCCGATGAAGATGAGAGGAGGACACAGCCCAGCCCCAAAGGCTCCAGCCCAGGGCAGCCTCGTGGGGCAGCACAGCCCTCCGGGGTGTCTTCAGCCCAACCATTCCCCACAGGTCTGGGAGAGATCAAAGCAGTGCAGAGCCCTCCTGTCTGCTGCAGGCTGCTGAGGAGCATGTGCTGGGGATGGAGAGTAAACAGACATCAAAGCCAGCTTGCGAAACACCGGATGTTGTCAGCCCAATTACATTTGGGCACTGCCGAGCCTGTTGCTCCGGCTCTGTCGGCGTGGTGGGTGTTGGTGTTGCACAGGGTGCAGGCAGCTGGCGTTGTGCTGTCCCCACCTCCAGGCCCAGAGGAAGCCCATGGCCAGGTTACGGGAAGTCGGTTACTGTTGGTCGGCAGCGGTGACACTTCGCTTGTGTTACACTTTCTGAGCTGTCAAACCCCACTTCCCAGCTCTGCAACACTTTGGCTTTGGGGCTGTTGGCCAGGTTTTGTTTTGTTTCATTTGATGTCATGAGAATGTTGGCACTCTGCTGCTACTGAGCTGTTGGCACCGTGCTGCCTTTTGGAGGACGCCCATCGCTGGGGATTGTGCCTGCTCCGACTGCAAGGAAGGGCACTGAGCAGTCTGCAAGCTACTTTGCAACTCAACCCAATTGGGTCATTCCTTGATTTATGCCACACGCTTTATGCTTAAAAACAGCATTCCTATCCCGTTCCCTGAGCTCTCTTCTTCAAGTAGAGCTGCTTTTTGGGAACTGGGGTCCCTAGAGCGCTGTCCCAGCTCTGGATGCACTCACGTGTTGTGTCACTGCTGCACCTCTGCACAAAGCGTTAACTCCGTTTGTTTAGCTTTTTTTTTTTTCCCTGCTCAGCTGCATCTTTCATCTCCTCCTCGAGGCCGCTCAGAGCAGGAAGCACTGCTCCGAATGCCTTCAAAGTTCAGCCCTATTTAGAGATGCGGTTTGCATTGAACCTCCCCTCTCGCTTTTCCTCCGGACCATCCGGGAAGCAGCTCTTACACGAAAGCAGAGCAGCGCAGAGCCCCCGCGCCGCATCCTCCTCTGCACTATCGCGGCTGCCCGGGTTGAGCACAGCCCACCCTTCCCGTAAACGCTCACAACTGCTGCGGCATTTCTTAGAAAAGGGCCGAGTTGGTCCGGCGCTGCTCAGTGCGCTGATAGCTGTGGCGCTTCCGTCTGCTGCTGGTGATCCCGTCCACCATCGCTGTGCCCTGCGCTGCAGCTTTCCCTCCTGCTGGCACCTTCATGTAGCCAAGAGCCATCAGGTCCATCCATGTCCTGCACCTCTAGGAGTATGGAGATGGGAGACCCAAAGTCAACAGCATAGAATAGCTTGGGTTATGAGGGACCTTAAAGGTCGTCCAGTCACAATAGGCAAGTTTCCCTTCTCCCAGACAAGAACAGCAGGGCTGGGTTGGAGATGATGGATGTTTTATGACTTGTCTAGCTGTTCCTGCTGCTTTTACATAATAGAATCATTAAGGTCAGAAAAGACCACTAAGATCCCCAAGTCCAACCGCAGCACACCAAGCCCACTGACCACGTCTCTCAGTGCCACATCTTGAACACCTCCAGGGATGGTAACCCCACCACCTTCCTGGGCAGCCTGTGACAATGCATCACTGCTCTTTCTGAGAAGAAATGTATCCTAACATCCAACCTCAAAAGAGCAAAAACCAAAAAGGATGAAACAGGACCAGGACAAGTCTTCATGCCATCCAATCCCGAGATCTAGGGCTGAAAGGACAGCTGCAGACTTGCAGAGGGTCAGCACTCAACACACCTTTGCCTTCCCATGTCCAGCCATGGTGTTCAGCCACAGCAAAGGCTCCCTTTATCACATCACTTCCTGGGAATGGGAGGTGAGCAACAGCCAGACGTGCTGGAAATGCACACACAGGCTCGGAGGTGGCACCTTTGGGCCCTTCTGGGCACAGTGAGTCACAGGAGCTATTTTAAACCCCTGCCTTAGGATGAGAGGAATGAGCAGCAGGTCCCACAGCTCCCTGTTAATGAACCACTGTGAACACTGATCTCCCAGCGCTTTGCCAAAGTCCTGTGTGGCAATAGCATCATTTCCATGGGGCGTGTGGGGAAACTGAGGCACGGCACACTGGCTTGCTGGAGACATTTTGTGGCAGAGCTTAAGAACAGGGCTCAGCTTTTCCCTGCCCTATCACTCCCACAAGGGAAATGTCAGCCAGGAGAAAGTGTGCAGCAAGAGGCTCCCGGATTTATTTACGGGTGCCAAGAGCTTGCAGCCAATGAGCAAGATGAGACCACAGGCAGAACTGTCCCAGCAGCCTTCTTTGGGTGGGACCAGCCACCAAGCGATGTCCCCATGTCCCCCTGGTACGGGAGCTGAGGGCAAAGCCCTGAACTCATCTCAACCCTGGCAAAAATGAACAAAGTGGGGGGAGATGTCCCTTCCCGGACCTCTGGGAAAACCCTGTGCTGTGACCCCAGGTGCAGGTTTCAGGCACCTGAAGCCTTGTGGGGTTTGCACCAACCTTACCAACACAGAGCCTGAGCTGATGCTGCCTCCGTGACACACTGAAACTGCATCACTGGGCTGAGAGTTGGCGGGGGTTTTTGCAAGGAAGAAACACTTCATTCACCGTAAAAAAACAAAAACAAAAAAAAAACTCCTCCCCCCCCCCCAAAAAAAAACCAAAAAACCCACACACCGCAAAACCTTTCCAGTGTGTAAAGCTGAGTCAAATTTAGCAACTTCAGCTAAAGAAAAATATTTGTAAAGGGGTAATCAGAGTGTTTTTCATCCTTTTCCAAGCTTTTCCCCTTCCTCCAGGGTAATTTTTCATGTTTTTAATCACTGTGTTTGTTACAGTTAGGAGGGTGTTAAGCGACCCGAAAAATGAAACAGCTCTTGTTTCAAACCCAAGCAGCCAGTTCAGTTAACCTGAAATGACACACAGGCACACATCAGCGTTTGAAGGGAGAGCGGGTTGCAGGAACAGAGATCTCACCCCAGTGAGAAGGCTGTGAGAAAAACAGAAGCAGCAAAATGTCATTTCAGGTCAACCCACGCTGCAATTCTTCAGACTTTCCCCCCACAAGAGTGCAGGCAGGGCCTGCACACAGCAGTGCTGACCCCAATGGAAACTGCCCCATGCTTGCAACCTGCCCCAGAGCACTGCTCACAGCCCGTTGCTTCTGCACACATGCACGGGTACAGGAAGGCACACGCCTGCTTGAATGTACGTAATCCTCCCTAAGCAGGCAGATCTGGATGGGTTTGGCTCAGGTTGGCTGCTGTTGCCACCAAAAGGCAGCTACAGATGCTTGGATTTTGGCCTTGGCATCCTTTCATCCCCCATCCCTCCTTTTGGGGCAGAATGGAACTGCCCTCTCCCCTGCTTTCTCCTCCAGGGTGTTTCCAAAGTCTTTGACAAAGCCAGTGAATGAGTGAATCACGCGAAGACGACCTGTGAACTGCCATCGAAAAGCAGGAGGGAGATTTCTGAGGACCGGGGAGGGACAGCAAAGCAAACCCAAAGCAAACTGCATAGGCGGAGGGGACAACAGCACCTGGAGGGGCCTTCAGAACCGTCCGAGTCCCTCGGACGCAACGGCCGCGCTCAGCCTCTCACTGACACCAGGGGACACTTTCCACGTCCCGCTGTCCGAACGCTGAGCTTTCAAACTTCCCACACCAGCTCGCGCGTCCTCGCGGACACAACCCCTGCCCTGCGCGTCTCAAAGCAGGTCGGGACGGCAGAAAATCCCACGTCAGATCCTTCACGGGTCCCGAGTCCAACCTCACACAGCTCCACCCGACTCCAGGCCCCGTGCTGAGCGCTGTGCCCGCTGAGGCAGAGCCTTTCGCTCACACCCAGCCTCGAGAACATCTCCTCGAGCTCCAACCACGAGCTCCGCGCCAGGCGCACGGCGGGGCTCCCGCGGCCGCGGGCGGAGGGCAGCGATCTGCGGCCGGGAGCCTCGACGCGCTCTTGCTTTTTTAGCAGCCCGAAGTTTCCTTTCCCCGCTTCAGGCCTCGGGACGGGAAAAGGAACCGATTCTCCTCTCAGCTTTCGATCTCGCTCAGAACTGAAAGCTGCCGGACCCGAAACGTCCCCGCACGGCGAGCGGAGCGGAGCGGAGCAGAGCCGGCTTCCAGAGCGCGGGGCTGCGGGGCTGCCGCCCTCTGCTGTCCTCCCAGAAGCTGATTTTGCACAAAACAGGCCCGCTTTGGTTCGCGCTTTTTTACACAGAAACGCGCGCTTTTGTGCAGAAATTCGCGTTTTCCTCCCCCCTCTCGGAGCACCCATCGCTCCAGGGCCCTACGAGGGGTTCGAGGAGGCGGCGCTGCGGCCACCCGGCGGCCGTTCGAATGGCGGCAGGACGGACCTCGGGGACAACGCGGGGCCGCCAGGGG